AATTGTCTTCATATTGACAGCTGAATTAGTCAGGACTCTGAGGTTTAACAGAAACCCAACTCAAACTAGATTAGGTTGAGAACAAAACAAAGCCCACAATCCCTACACCGACAAAGGAATACTGAGTAGCTCATACAATTTTAAAGCAGCCCGGCAGAAACCAGGGCTTCAGGACCAGAACCAGGGACATCATGGTCCCAGGAATCTATTCATCACTTTGTCAGCTCAGATAGCTCCAGAGTTGGGGTGAAGATGGCTCAGGCTTCCAATCATGTTCTCCCAGGTTAATAATACCAGCAGAAAGGGGGCTTCATTCTTTCAAGGTTTCTATTACAAAAGGGACCCTAACGGGTCTTGCTCAGGTCACTTGTCCATTCCTGGAACCATTACTGCAGCTGGGTTATGGTATACTGTAGCTGATCCAATCTGGGTCATCCTTACAAACAAGGAGTGGAGAGCCAGAATTAAGAACCTCAACAGGACCACATCCTACTTGTAGCGCAGTTCCCCTGATAGAAGGGAGTATCACTACACAAAATGGGATAGGAAAATGGACTGAACCGAAATCTGTTATCTTACTCTGGTGTCCTTCGTCCTTTTAACCTTGAGATGGAGGTTTCAGATAAATGTCAGGAGCTTTAGTGCTAATGAAGAGAACTGCAGGCCCGTCGTGTTGGTTTTGACAACACCGAGCTTGGTGCTTCTTGACATCTGGGCTGTCTTGGCTTTAGTTATTTGCCTGCCTTCTTCAGCAATTTCTTCTTAAAATTTTTGAAACCAGATACATGTTTTCTTTATGGATTTATCTTGGGGATTGATGCCGTGCAAAGACAACAGCTGGAAGTCAAAAGCCCAGATCCTTCCTTGCTCTGGCATTACTAGCCCTGTAGTCTTTGGGAGGTTACTTTGGCAGGTTCTACATATCTTAAAGGACTTACAGGCAAACTTTAAGGACTGGAATGTCTAATGCTCGAGGTACTAGACCAGGAGATGAGAGGATGAAAGAACAAGACATGGCCCTTGCCCTCACTGGACTTACACTTCAGTGAAGGAGAAAGTAAAAGTGCTTTAAGAGGGAACTAGAAAAACTGCTAACTAAGCCTGCAAAGAAATTATCACGTGCTAGGAACCTCATCTATACCCTCTCCCTCACCTACTGTTGCTATCTAATGGATTTAAGCACCAATTACTACAGCAGAAAAATAGCACTGCTATTTTTCTGCCCAACTTTTTGTAATATATTGAAAAAAAGGACATTTAGGGCATCCTGGCAAAAATGGATATATATGCAGAATGCCTGGCAAGCCTACCTCTACCCCTGACAATGCTATAAAACGATTTCTATATTTATATAAATATATTACATATATTTACATAAATATGTTCTATGATCTCCACTGTACAAGTGAGGAAACTGACTCAGATACTGAGTAACTTATGCAAGGTCACAGACAGAAATGGCAGAACTGGGAGCCAAACCCTAACCTCTCTGGTTCTAAAGCCTGGAATGTTCACATCACACCATTTACTTTTCTCAACAATGACAATGGAAGGTTTAGGTTCAAACACCAGTTTGACCTTTAAATGTATGCCTGACTTTGGGTCCATTTCTCCTTCTGCACCTCCTGAATTTCCATCTACAAACCCAACATGTTGGCCAAATAGCTGAGTTTCTCTTCGGTTCTCTGGAATTCTAAGAACTACTCATTAGTGATTCTCAGTCTGTGGTTCCTGGACCATCAGCATCATCCACTGGGAACTTGCTAAGAAAGCATATTCATTGCCACAAAAAACCTACTAAAACCTGGGCATAGACCAGAAATCAGTTTTAACAAGCTCTCCAGGAGCTCCTAATGCAAATTGCTAAAGCAGACCTTCAGCATTCCGAAAGAATGCTACTACCATCATGATACCTTTTCTCCTCCTCAACAACCAGGTGTATGACTTGCAATACATTTCTTCTGAACTTCTGTGGGATTTTTTTAAAAAGATTTTTTATTCATTTGTCAGAGAGGGATCATGACCTGGGCTGAAGGCAGACGCTTACCTGACTGAGCCACCCAGGTGTTCCCTGAAGGTTTTTTTTTTAAAGATTTTATTTATTCGAGAGAACACAGTGGGGAGAGGAGTAGATGGAGGGGGGAGGCAGACTCCCCACTGAGCAAGGAGCCTGACACGGAGCTCAATCCCAAAACCCTGAGATCATGACCTGAATCAAAGTCCAGACGCTTAATCGACTGAGTCATGCAGGTGCCTCTCTTCTGTAGTTTTTAAAATATCTTAAAAACTTGAAATTTACTCTAAGGTGCAAGATTAAAATATCTTCTTTTGTTTCCCAACACCCCATTAAACTTCACCAAATGAATTAAAATTACAATGCTTGCCAATACCATTACTACCCCACCTTTGCCTTCTCTTAGATGTTACTTTTAAGTCGGAAATACCTCTCCCTCTTCAAGGTATTTTACTTTTTATCCCTCCATCCTTCCCTTTTCCTTTTGTTATTTAATACTCTATCCATTTTGGCCCAAACCTATTTAAACAATGTCCACTATTCTCTTCACTCCACACATCTTCCCTGCTGTCTCTGTTCCATCCACATGCCAAATGTCTCCATGATCCTATGGAACCCCACTGACTCTAGTTTTAATGTGGCAGTTACTTAAGAGATGGGCCTGAGTCTGATACTATTATAAAGTACAGTTTGCTAAAGGCACCAATGTAAAAAGTTTGTTCCATACAACAGAATTTCCCAGTTAAAAATTACTTTCTAATTAAAAATTATTTAAGCCTATTCAATCCAAGTCCCCAAAAGACCTCTTATTGGGACATTAACTCAACTCTAAAATACTCTCATTTTTTTCCAAAACATTAAATTTATATATGTCATGTCCCAAAGATTTTATTATACATTATGTATTAACCTCTGTATTAACTGCTTATATATTTAAACTTAAAAAGTTAAAAAAAAAAAAAACTTCTGTAAAGACTGGGGACAATGCTAACATATGGCAATTGTCACAGTGCTATGCTCAAGTATATGAAAATCTTACACTGGTGACAAAATACATAGCCATTTCCCCTCACTAAAGAGTACAGAGTGAAACAGAAATAGAACAAGTTAAAGATACTGCACGATGTGATGAAGTTTTAAGACAAATAAAACTAGATGTAGGTTCAAATTTGTTAAACTCAGCACCGACTGATAACTGGCATTAGAATTAGTTTGGGAAACTTCTAAAAAAGTTTCCTGGAACACATTTCCCAGTTTCAACTTCAGGATTGTTCATGGTAAGACTAGAATTAGTCTCAGGTATTTCTAGTGTACAACAGATTTAAGAACTATTGGCCCAGAGACACGCTCCATTTTAAAATTAATCAGAAGCACCATAGCACAAGCCAATTAAAAAATATGCATAAGGGGCACCTGGGTGGCTCAGGTGGTTGAGCGACTGCCTTTGGCTCGGGTCACGATCCTGGAGTCCCGGGATCGAGTCCCACATCGGGCTCCCTGCTCAGAAGGGAGTCTGCCTTCTCCCGCTGACCTCTCTTCTGTCATGCTCTCTCTCTCCCAAATAAATAAATAAAATCTTTAAAAAAAAAAAAAAATGCATGAGATGAAGGAAGACCCAGTTCAGTAGCTTTCCACCCAGCCATGGAAGTTGACGTGAACACTTTCACCGGATTCCACAAATAAACAGGACTCTCATTGTTGCAGTCGATCACGCTGTTGTACCATATCATTTCCCTGGTCCACAAAGTAGGTTCTAATTGACAGCTTATTGACCTTTCAAACTATTAGGCTCCATGGAGCAATCACAGTGAGGTTGCATGCTGCTTCTACCAAATCCACAAAGCCCCAAACATTTGTAATCTTCATGTATCTATACATTACTGAAACCGAAGTACAAAGAAATAATTGTAGGATATACAATGAGTTTCTGGTCTACATTGGGGAATGTCATGATTAATACTAGTTCTGGACCACTATAGGATTGCAATCCACAATTTGAAAAACAGAGCCAGTTCAACATTTCACTTTGTAGGTAAGAAAACTCTAGTCTGTAGGTACGGCATTTCACCATCTCAATTAAATCTTTTGTGTGACCTTTCATTTACCAAATTCCCACCATGACATCTTAACTCTTTACAATGTGACCTCAAACAACTTCCATTTCTAGGTTCTGCATTCTCTTACTGCAAGCTGGCTTCTACCAAAGGACCTAGAACAAGGCCACCAAACTTTTCATCTTACAAATCCCATTGCCAAAGAAAATAACCCATACTTTCTCTTGCAGAGTGCAAAAACTCCAAGATAATATAGATTATGTAGATCACACATTACATATGCAACCAATTGGGAAGAAAAACAGATGGTTATGGTTAGACGACAGACAGATGTACACTAAAAAAGATAAAAACTTCTCATAGACATTTCTCTTGGCTATAATGATTTAAATTAGGTTCCTTATAGATAGGAATCACAACAAGCAGCATTATTAATTTAACAATTCCTAAAGCTAGTGATTTTAGCTAGATACTTGTGTATTAGAACCTTCTAAGGCTATTAAAAGGCAAAATTATGTCAAAATTTGCAAATAGATTCGAAGTCAGATTTGAAAGCCAAGATGAGCAACTCCTTTTTCTGATTATTACCTCTGACCAAGGCCTAAGAATCCACTCAGACAAATAGCTTTCATAACCTACCTAAAAATAGGCTAGTTCATAAATTTTCTAAACTATTCTTCCCTGCTGTGAGCAGCCCTTGATCTCAGACTATAAAACTTAGCAAACTCTGGCATGCTCTAATGTTAGTTTTATAAGTTACTGAAAACCTCTATAAATTTAGCATCATTTCTCAAATCTGGATAGTTTTCTCATTCTGAATGCTTCAACATTTAGGTCACAAATTGAAATACCAGCAGAAAAAAACTCATCTTTAGGCAGGTTGAACAGTTACCAGTTGGCAAGAAACTGACAAAATTCAAACATTCAGAGCATCAGAACACTTCAAAGCTTTATGAACTTTGAACGTAGCACACTTTCCTAAACTTTAGTGGTTCCAACTACAGGAAAACCAGACTCTAACGTTTGAGAGGATTTAAACTAACTCAAAATTTTTGCAATTCCTGACATCAATACTAGATTTATAGTTTTACTACGGTAACAAATAGCTGTCAGTGAGACCTATAAACATATACAGAATTATTATATTTAAATTCATATAGAACAATATTTACATTTTTAAGTTACACTTTTGAAATCAGAAGATGAAGTACAGCTTAAGTTTACAACAAAGAAAAGAAAAATACACAAAACAAAAACAGACAAAGTTAACAGTAAAAATACAACTATCTGTTCTTGATAGGTGAAAACTCTTTGTCAGAAAGCTACATCTTCTTAATCTGATTGTCCAAATCATTAAAATAAGGATGATTCAGTGCCATTTTGCCAGAAATTCGTTTGGCAGGATCATAGACTAACATTTTCTGGGTGGGGGGGGGAGGGGGAGATAAAAAGAAAAAAAAGGTTTTTATTTATTTAAGAAATGAACCATAAAAAAATTTCCATAAAGCCTTAATTTTTCTACAAATAAGCCATAGCTAATAATGTTAATAAAAAACTACTAAATGAACATTTCCATCAGTTCAATACCAAACCACATAAATGCCTCATCCTCCGTACTTCACCCTCTAGCTCTAAAATAACCTATTCCTTAAATTATGGATATCTCAATAACCTTTCTGCTACAAATTATGCTTTAAGACACAAGCATTCAGAGATAGCTTTAAAACCAGGACATAAATTTAAGAAAGATATCTAGTTAATTATATGTACTTTGAGAATTAAATGGCCATCTGAGTTATTTACAACATTCTTGAAATGGCGGCAATTAACTCTAGTGGTTTCTAATATAGCTTCCAGCAAGTTCCAAACAAAAACAAAACTAGAGCACAATGTGTTATAAAGATAGTTAAAATGAGTCAGTAAATGAATTACAGTCAGACAATCTAGTATTAAAGTTTTAATTCACACATCACCAGAAAGACTGCATATTGTTTAATATTGATCTTAAATTTTATCTTAAACATCAATCTTAAAGAAAACCAAATCAATAAGCAGACTAGATATACTTTTAGTATCTAGTAACCCCTTGAGCTCTTATCATGTATCAAGCACTATATTAAGTGGCTGGCACATCCAATGTTACTTAATCCTCACAACAAATGCTAAGTACTGGTCCCATTTTACAATGAGGACACTGAGGCTCAGAGGTTAAGTAACTTGCCACAAGTTCTTACAACTAAGGAGTTTAAATTTGAAATCAAGTCTGAGGATTTACAGCAGTGGTTCTCATCTGGGTGAGACTTGGCCTATCAGGGGACATTTGACAGTGTCTGGAGACATTTTGGGTTGTCACAACTGAGAGGAATATGATCCTGTACCTATGGGGCAGAGGACTGGGATGCTGTTAAATGTCTTGCAATGTACAGGACAGCCCCTACTCTCAAAACATGATCCAGTCCAAGAGGTCAATACCAGCTAGACTAAGGAACCATGATTTACAGTGTTTGATTTTTGTTTCGTTGACTGAAGTGAAAGTCTTTGTGTTCAAGAATTATAGATGTTAAACAAGACAGACTGGGCCCAGGATACAGAAGACTTTCTAAGTCAAATCAACAACACTGATATATAACATATCTCAATGACAGATAAAGGACTTTGGACTTCAAGTATTTGGAAATCTGAGCTGAATTTGGTGGAATAATGATTTATAAATTCTGAAAGGAGCCCAAAAACCAATTAGAAGTTTTATAGGATAATAGAGCAATATATTCTTTTGTTCAGTAACCTACCCAAACCTTTTCTTTTATAATTACATTAGCAGAGATTAAAAAAATTAGTTCCGTCTAAAAGCTTAATATTTAACTACTGTTCTAAAACAATTTTCTTAAAGCAGGCCTACCTAGGACAATTTATACTCTATCCTAATAGATTTTTTTTATCTTGCTTTTAAAGAAAACAACTGTTAGTTGGGAATGGCAATGTAGTAAAGGGGAAAGATTTTTAAGAACTATGTTATTCCTTCTCCTCTCTTTCTGATGTACAAATGAGGCACAAAGTGAGAAATTATAGTTCATGCAGTAAAAGGCTTTAATACCTAAAAATATCAAGCAATAAGGAAAACACCTATGTCTCAGATAAACTAGAAAGTAGTAAACACAGAGACAAAAAGTTAGAAAGGAAGGCCACTATGAACCAGCTACTTAAAAACAATAAAGAAGTATTAACCCTGCATTTTCCTTCACAGAGCATCTATAGCTACCGCAGATTAAAAAAAAAAAATCAAACAAAAAACTAATGCTAAAACCTCCTCTCAAAACCACTCATGTTTCTTGGTATCTAAAATGGAGCTAGTAATACTATAAATATAACAGGCATAATAGTTATATGCCTAGCTCAATATATATTGGTTTTCTATCTCCCAGGTAAAGGAAATGAATTGAGTACATTCAGAATCAATGAGGTTGAAGTCAGTATAAATTGTCTCCTTACCGAGAGCAGATCCAAGCCATTTTCATCCAAGTTTTTAACATGGGATGCCAGACTTCCTGGTTTCCACTTGGGAAATGTATTCTTATAGTCCTGTAAAGATTCCACTTCTGGCCACACTTCATTATTGGGAGTACCCAAAGCTCTAAAAGGGTAGAGCAAAACTATTAAATTATTAGTTTAAGTGTAACTATAATCTTAATATTACTTACATGTTGCCTCTATTATTATTTCACTTGAAATTTTAAAGTTCTTAAAAAGATAAAAATACCTGAAAATTCTGAAGAGTTGATCAATTTCTGAATCCCCGTGGAAAAGTGGTTTTTTGGTTGCTAATTCTGCAAATATGGTGCCTATACTCCAAATGTCAACTGGAGTCGAGTAGCGAGCTGACCCCAGCAATACTTCCGGAGATCTGTACCAGAGTGTTACCACCTATTACAGAGCAAATTTTTACACTGAATAAACGTAGTGCATATTTATGCATAAATATGCTTAAATACAAACATATTTCAGTAGCACTGTCCTTTAGAAGGTCCCATGGTTGCCTCTGATAATACTGTTTGAAAGTCAATTAACAATACACAAGATAATAAATGGAAGATAAATATTTCATTTGTAAGTTCTAGTCATGAGGGGGTTAAGGAAAAAACAAAACAAACAAACATCAGATAAAAGCACACAAGCTCTTTTCTTGCTTTTAAATCATTAAAGTGCAAGAATCAAAATAGTCATGACAACAATCACTTTTAAAAAAAAGCCACTGAAAACAGATTTGGTCATGACACTGTACAACGCATGTACATATACTGCTCACATGCTAAGAACATGAATAAGTAAATAACAATTTATTAGTGGTCTAGAGGCTGATCTACTATTTTAGTATCTATAAATTATCACGATGGTAAAAATACCATCTCTAAGTTAATGAGATCAGCAGTATCTATTTAAGCCAATGGGAACCAAATAATCTTTACTTTTTTATAAAGCCATGGGAAAAATGATGAAAAGAAGCCAATACATCTGACCAAATAAACAATGTTGTAAGTTCTCATCTGGAGATAGTCTTTGGGCTCAGGGATAGACAACGCCATAGAAAACCATCAACCAGAAGTCCTTTACTATAGAAGTCAACACTCCCTTTTCCCTCTGGAAGTAACAAATGAAATGCCAAGTCATCTGTAGAACATGGACAAAACTTGATTATATTTAGTAGTTTCTAAATATATACGAAACAGTAACCCATAAGCAACAAAACCTCTCTTTTACAAATTTTATTGTGTACCAATCAGGAGACAGAAACCACATGGTGATTTGCTTGGGGAAAGTTTACTAAGAAGGATTATTAAATAATAGGGGGTTAGGAAAAGAGAATAATTAATAAGGAATAAGTCTTAAAACTGTAGCAAGGAAAACCCCTTACTTCCGTAGTCCCTCTCCTGCCCCTTCTACTGCCATCACACCTGCTGGCAAAGAAAAAAATATTTAAAGGTCTCCGTTAGATTTTCACACAGCATGAAATGAAGAATGAGTTTGGAATTGAGAGGCATTAAATTCATGCTAGCAGGACGGAAGTCTTTCTTACTGGGTGTTTCTTGACTCAATGAACAAATACAGAAAACAAACCAGCAATCACACATATTCAAAAGCACCAAAACACACTAGTCTACATACCTCATGTGTGTATACTCTAATAGGTATTCCAAAAGCTCTGGCAAGGCCAAAATCAGCCAGTTTAATTGTTCCTTTGTCATCAATCAATAGATTTTGAGGTTTTAAGTCTCTGTGCAGAACTCTTCTGGAGTGGCAAAACACAATCCCTTGTAGGATTTGGTACAAATAACTCTGGAAGAAGGAAATAAGTCAGAAACTTAACAGTCCCACACAATGATTTTCTAACTAATCTTGATGCGTTTGTCTCTAAGATATAAGAAATTATAATGCAGGGAAATAATTTAACTGCCACAAAAACTTTCAGGCATTTGAGACTAACAAGCAGCATTTGGGGGTGGGAAGCCCATTGATATACAGTATCATGTTGGTATACCCGAGACAAAGATATTTTCCTTATGGATACATCCATATCCATATGAACTCATTTAGTCTTCTATTATTTTTTTCTCCCCAATTCTGAATTCCTAAGTTCTGTACAGTTTTTTTTATTTTATTTTAAAGATTTTACTTATTTATTTGAGAGAGAGAGAAAGAGACAGAGCACAAGTGGAGGGGGAGGGGCAGGTGGAGAGGGAGAAGCAGACTCCCCACCGAGCAGGCAGCTGGACAGAGGGCTCAATCCTAGGACCCTGAGATCATGACCTGAGCCACAGGCAGATGCTTAACCTACTGAGCCACCCAGCGGGCCCAGACTGTTTATAAACTTTTGTCTATATACTTATAGTAACTTTTTATTTTGAATAAGGTTGGTCCATTTCTATTTCTTATTATTATATATTAATTTCGTCTTTGGAAACATTGGTTACAGATTCTAAAAGAAATGACAAATATGATACTGATTATATATTTAAATAAAGGCAATTATCATAACATGCAACTTAGTAGTTCAGAGAAAAATATCATACAAGATAGGTGTTGCCAAGACAATGTAATTGTCATTTGAAGTAACATGGGTATTACAGAAATATAAGGTATACATAGTATTGACTTATGAAGCTCCAAATTATAAAATAATACATAAAATCAACTGTTAGAACAACAACAACAAAAAAGACTATGTATTAACTGGGGCATCTGGCTGGCCCAGTCAGAACAGGGTGCGACTCTTGATCTCGATCTTGGGGTTTGAGCCCCACATTGGATGTACAGATTATTTAAATAATACTATTTTAAAAAAGAATTATGTATAGGCTTATAAATAGCCAAAAATGAAAAATTATTAGATGAGATACAAAGTACACTTTTTTCACATAAGAGACTGAAAAATATTTACAAGATTGATAGAAGTAGGTGCTAAAAAAATAACTGTCATATACCATGATGAGTAAACTGCTACTATTGTTTGGAAGGCAATTGGCATTATCAAGATTTTAAATGTAAATAAACATCTTCAAACCGCTGATTAAAATTATAAGAATTTATTCTAGGGCACCTAGGTGACTCTTGGTTGCACCTCAGGTCAAGATCTCAGGGTTGTGAGACTTAGCCCCAAATCCAGCTCTGCGTACAGCAGAGTCTGCTTGTCCCTTTCCCTCTGCTCTTCCCCACCACTCTCATGCACTCGCTGATACTCTCTCTCTTAAATAAATAAAATCTAAAAAAAAAAAAAAAAAAAAAAAAGAATTTATTCTTTAAGGATTCACTGGGGCATGGTTCATGAGAGCACGAATCACGGAGCTGGAAAACAACTTCAATGTCTATCAGTATGGAATTGGTTTAAATAATTAGATCAGGGACACCTGGGTGACTCAGTTCGTTAAGCGTCTGCCTCTGGTTCAGGGCTCAGGTCATGATCTCAGGATCCTGGGTTTGAGCCATGCCTTGGGGTGTCTGCTCAATAGGAGTCTGTTTCTCCCTCTCCCCGTGCCCCTACCCCAAGCTCGTGCTCACTCTCAAATAAATAAATTAATTAAATATTTAAAAATAAATAAATAAATAATTAGATCAAGTATTTAGACAGGCAAACCTATATGTGGAAGGTCTCACAGAAAAAAGGTTTTACAACAGTGTGTTTATATACACAAAGGTAACATACAAGTATCTATAAGACTACTAAAAAACTAATCATTGGCTACCTAACCCTGAGGACTGGTTCGGTACTGGTAGAGTTAAAGACACATCTACTTTATATAGACTTCAATGCTTTTAAAAAAATTATACATTTATAATTTAACTGAAATATAATATCAATAATAAATTAAACATTCAAAACCAGAATAAAATAAAACCACTTCCTGTCATTACCCTACCAAGCTTTTGTTACATTGTTTTACACATATCTGACTGCCAAATAAAGACCAAAATATCCTAGTTTCCAACAATGGAATACATACTTAATGGTTTTTGGTTTTTTTTTAAAGATTTATTTATTAACTTGTTAGAGAGAGAGAGAGAGAGAGCATGAGCACAGACAGACAGAGTGGTAGGCAGAGGCAGAGGGAGAAGCAGGCTCCCCGCCGAGCAAGGAGCCCGATGTGGGACTCGATCCCAGGACGCTGGGATCATGACCTGAGCCGAAGGCAGCCGCTTAACCAACTGAGCCACCCAGGCGTCCCATACTTAATGGTTTTATGTTATCCCAGGCACTACTTTTCACTTTATAACAAGAAGCACTATCTAATAATAAAAGGGGTAACTTTAATCTATAGACTATGGGAGAAAAACAAAATATTCTTTTCCTCCTCATTCTACTAACATTTTTTCTAAGCCTATTCCCCAAAATACAGAACTTCGATGCAATAGACCCTTAACATTTAGTGGATACATACTAATACAATTAAGTAAGATAAGTACTAATGCATTTAGTACGTGGATAAATACTAACAAAATTAAATAAGCTTCTTACCTTAACAAGTGAAGAATCCATGAACTGACCAGGAGGGATGGAATCTAAGTATTTCTTAAGATCCATGGAAAGGAATTCAAAAATGAGATATAACCTGGAATCCTGCATAAGCACATCTTGAAGACTAGAGAATAAAATACTCATGTGAAAAAAAAATCTACCACTTTTGACCTCTCATAAAATAAAACTTCCATAAATTAAAAAATGGCGATCATAAAAAGTGGGACTATAAGAAATTTTCTGTAACAAAAAATACATACTGTTTTGGGAAAGAAAAGATGGCAGCTTCCCTAGTAGTGAAAACCTCAGTACTAAAATAGAATTTAGGAAAGGAAATTCAGGGCAGCAAATGAAAATTAAGTCGTATTATGCTGAAGGTGCTAACAAACCACTTACATATCAAAAGAACATTTCTTTAAAAAAAAAAAAAAGACATTTAGAACATTTCTATGTTGACTACTTGTTGCACAGAGCTTGTCTTTTCAGTGGAGTAAATTATAGGAATAAATATTAAAATTTACTAGGAACCCGTAACAGTAGCTATCTCCAGCCCCAGAAAAATGCAATTAAATCCTAACTTGGATTATTAGGAAACAAACCCCTCAAACACTAGTCCAAATACTTAGAGAAAGAAAAAAAAATCTTTTTCTTTTTCATCTGACCTAGCTACCCAACTGTGATTAAGGGGTCTTCAAGGACCAGAGCTCAGATTGGTGTAGGTGATAAAGGTCTGTGAAAAAGGATTTCCTTTTCTCCCTTGCCCAGTTTACCTTGATTTTCCAGCCCCCAATACTAATCTCTTATTACCAAGCTCCTCTAACTCTGTTCCTGCTTTAAATCTATTCTTCCTATGCCTGGCACTCCAACTTCACAAAAATAATAGAGTTCTATTCCGCTCAGCAAAGTTAGACCAGATATTAAGCAAATGTAAAAATTTCCACATTGAAATTCACATTTGAAATAGTATGCGGAAAATGGTTTAAATTCAGATATACCATACCTGACTATATTTGGATGACGAAGTTCTTTTAATAGAGAAATTTCCCGAATTGCAGTACTAGGAACCCCTTCCTCTTCACTTTCTAGTCTGATTTTCTTCATGGCTACCACTTGACCTGTAGTTTTGTGTCTACCCTTATACACAACTCCATAGGTACCTGAAATAGACAAAGTAAATGTCTACTATATGACACCCTCCACAAACTAAGATTTCAAAAAAGGACTGAATCCCATGAAGTGTCACGTGATAGAAATGTCTACTGTGACCAGATAGGAAGTGTCTTACTCAAAATTATACCCTCATCACTTCCAAAAAGAAATTGAGGGTAACTACAACCTATGATGTCTATAGAAATAAAATTCATGTAGTTGTCACAATTCTCCCATACATTTAAATTACCAGTAATTTCCCAGCACATTTTAGAGAAGAAAATGATGGCTCCTTTGCCAATTGGAATTTATCTTCTTTCAAATATTCAACCCAACAATAAAGCAGGCATAAAATATAGGGTGAAGATGATTTGGGCTGAAGAATTATTAACAGGAGCCACTGTGACACTTTCAGAAAACTGTACAGAGTGCTTTATGCATTTCAAATAGTCAATCCTCATCTAGGAAAATCATGGGGCTAAAATATTTTACTATCTGGTAAATCTATTAAAGTTCAAAATATCTATTTATAGTATAAAAGTCTCACACCCATTTGGAAGTTAACAGGAACATGGATTCTGATATATAAGCTTCAGATAATGAGCAACAATGTCAACAGAAGGGATCATGGGCAGGAGGAGGGTGGATACAGAGAACAGAAGCAGCAATATTAAGGGAGATGAACTAGTCAATTTAAAAAGTTCATGTACAGGGTGCCTGGGTGGCTTAGTTGGTTAAGGTCTGCCTGAGACTCAGGTCATGATCCCAGGACCCTGACAGCAAGCCCCCCATAGGGCTCCTTGATCAGCAGGAAGCCTGCTTTTCCTTCTGCCTGCCACTCCCCTTGCTTGTATGCTTGCTTGTGGCCCCCATCTCTAGACAAATAAATAAATAAATAAATCTTAAATTTTTAAAAAAATTCATAAACAGGACACACTTAGTCCCCAGATAGGTGCTCTTTTAACGGTGGTTGGAAGGGTGCCTGGCTGGCTCAGTAGGCAGAGCATGACCTTGATCTCAGGGTCAGGAGGTTAATTAAGCCCCATGTTGGGTGTGGAGCCTACTTAAAAAAATAAATAAAATCTTAAATAAACAAATACATAAAATTTTTAAATTCAGTTTGGAAAATATAGGAAGATCTTGAACCTCCTGACTCTATATAAAATTTTGAATAACCTGCTATTTTTCTGTAACAATGGTTTAACTTTAGAAGTGATTAGAGTGCATTTTTCTAAGGAGACCCATTCTAAAGCTTTTATCAGTTTCTCTGAAGGTAGCAGTATTTCAAAAAAGGCTAAGAACTACTATCAAATTATCTCCTGGCTTAATTAGAATATTAAGGATGGTTTGGTGATGTTAAATAAACTTGGTTCTAAGTTTGTTTTAAACAGAGAAATTCTATACAATTGTGTCTTCCTAAATACTGGTATCATTTTAAAGACATAAATGACCTAAGAGCCATTTTACATTATTTTGATTAAATTTGGATTAGGGGCACCTGGGTGGCTCAGTGGGTTGAGCCTCTGCCTTCGGCTCAGGTCATGATCTCAGGGTCCTGGGATCGAGCCCCACATATGGCTCTCTGCTCAGTGGGAAGCCTGCTTCCGCCTCTCTCTCTGACTGCCTCTCTGCCTACTTGTGATCTCTGTCAAATAAATAAAGTCTTAAAAAAACAAACAAACAAACAAACAAACAAACAAACAAACACAAAAGTAGGTAAGTCAGTAGCACAATTACCGGGCACACTGTTAAAGCAAACTCAAGATTCATCAACTGCATAATGTAGTCTAATCAGTTAACTAATTTTTCCCCCTACTATTCCTCTCTCCTTCAAGTGTACAATCTCATCTGGGCCTAAAATTTACTCATAACAATAAACTAACTTATACCTAACACTTAGTATTTATTCAATTTTAGACATCACAAGTGCTGTCTCTTTTCTGACTCTTTGAACCATTATCACTCATAACTACTAGGATAGAGCTCTAGTTAAACAAAGCAGAATGATTCTACTGGTTAAGCACTAAAAATTATTTATGAAATGCATAGTATATACTCTGAAATAAACTACACATTATTATTTTTTTAAGATTTTATTTATTTATTTGACAGAGAGAAAGCACAAGCAGGGAGAGCAGCAGGAGAGGGAGAAGGAGAAGCAGTTCCCACTGAGCAGGGAGCCTGATGCGGGGCTCTATGCCAGGACCCTCGGATCATGACCTGAGCCAAAGGCAGATGTTTAACCAACTGAGCCACCCAACTGTCTTGAACTACACTTTATTAAGTTTAAACAATAATAATGTTAGCTATGGTCATGTTCTGGAGACTCTGAATGTTAAGCACAAAAACTTAAATCAAATGTTTATTGAGTGAATAAAGGCCAAGTTAGGTCCTCCATCATAGATATAGGTACTCTCTATGATCGAAAAAGACGTTTTCTTAAGACAGAATGTAACACTCAGATATTTGTAATTTAGAAGAAACCAGAGAACACCTTTGTAATAACTGAAACAAGAAAAGTCTAGATGTATTTAAGAAATGAATCAGGTTGTGGGGCACCTGGGTGGCTCAGTGGGTTAAAGCCTCTGCCTTCGGCTCAGGTCATGATCCCAGGGTCCTGGGATCAAGCCCCACATCGGGTCTTTGCTCCGTAGGGAGCCTGCTTCCTCCTCTCTCTCTGCCTGCCTCTCTGCCTACTTGTGATCTCTGTCTGTCAAGTAAATAAATAAAATCTTAAAAAAAAAAAAAAAAAAAAAAGAAAGAAATGAATCAGGTTGTCAAAAAACTCAAGTATCAAGGTGGAAAAGTCAGGAGGACTATTCTTTTTTTTTTTTTATTAATTTTATTTTTTATAAACATATATTTTTATCCCCAGGGGTAACAGGTCTGTGAATCGCCAGGTTTACATACTTCACAGCACTCACCATAGCACATACCCTCCCCAATGTCCATAACCCCACCCCCCCAATCCCCCTCCCCCCATCAACCCTCAGTTTGTTTTGTGAGATTAAGAGTCACTTATGGTTTGTCTCCCTCCCAATCCCCTCTTGTTTCATTTACTCTTCTCCTACCCTCTTAACCCCCCATGTTGCATCTCCTCTCCCTCATATCAGGGAGATCATGATAGTTGTCTTTCTCCGATTGACTTATTTCGCTAAGCATGATACCCTCTAGTTCCATCCACGCAGGAGGACTATTCTTAATTAGAAAAAGGTTAAGGAGATATTAGTCACCAAATGCAATGCATGACATTGGCTAGTTCTCAAGAAGATACATGCAGAAGTATTTTGAAGTAAAGCACATCACTACAACTTACTTTACATGGGTCAAAAGAAAAACAAAATGCTAAACACACACACACACACACACACACACACACACACAGATAATAAAGCAAATGTGACATAATTAACATCTTGGTAAAAAGTATTATAGGTCGGGCACCTGGGTGGCTCAGTGGGTTAAGCCGCTGCCTTCGGCTCAGGTCATGATCTCAGGGTCCTGGGATCGAGTCTCGCATCGGGCTCTCTGCTCAGCAGGGAGCCTGCTTCCCTCTCTCTCTCTCTGCCTGCCTCTCTGTCTACTTGTGATCTCTCTCTGTCAAATCAATAAATAAAATCTTTAAAAAAAAAAAAGTATTATAGGTTCATTGAATTTATCTTTCAACTTAGCTGTTTGGAAATAATCCAAATAAAGTTGAGGGAAAGAAATTTAACTTTTCAAATTGGTATTTTAATGCTAGAATTTGACCAGGTATCTGGCAAATCAAAAGAAAATACTGTGTGAAAGGCCTTAATTATTCACACAATTTATTTTTTCAAAAACAATGTTCACCACAAAATTCAAAACAGCCAGGCACTGGAGTAGTCAAGACAATACAAGCCAGAAAAAAGAAACAGAGGAAAACAGATAATGTTACCATCAAACATATGAATATCTCCCGTGGTGCTAGACACTACTGCCAAGCCCTGTTCAAACACTTATGAACAAGACAAAATACCAAACTTCAGAAAGCTTACATACAGTGTAGTAAAGAAAAAGGATATTAAGGATAACAAAAAGGGAACTATAAAATGCACTTGGACTAGAACAATGAGATGAAAGTGAAGGCAGCAGAGTGGTTAACAAGGTGACAGAGCACCCATTGCCAAAAGCCCAAGGATCAACAAATAGGGAATATGAAAGGAAATTGTGTAGTAGAACAGGAGTCTTTTAACTCCAGGAAGTAAGACCACATTTGAAATTATACTCTTTACTGATTGATTTCAACTAGAGTACTTTTCTCAAGAGTCAAATCTGTTGTCTCTTGCATGTTTGGAGTTCAGAGTTTTAAAGAAAAACACACTGAGGGCGCTTGGGTGGCTCAGTTGGCTTAGCGACTGCCTTTGGCTCAGGTCATGATCCTGGAGTCCCAGAATCAAGTTCCAGCATCAGGCTCCCAGCTCCACGGGGAGTCTGCTTCTCCCTCTGACCTTCTCCCCTCTCATGCTCTCTTTCTCACTCTCTCTCTCTCAAATGGATAAATAAAATCTTTAAAAAAAAAAAAAAAGTCGGGGCGCCTGGGTGGCTCAGTGGGTTAAAGCCTCTACCTTCGGCTCAGGTCGTGATCCCAGGGTCCTGGGATCGAGCCCCACATTGGGCTCTCTGCTTGGCTGGGAGCCTGCTTCCCTTCCTCTCTCTCTGCCTGCCTCTCTGCCTACCTGTGATCTCTGTCAAATAAATAAATAAAATAAAATCTTTTTAAAAAATAAATAAATAAAAATTAAATAAATAAATAAATAAATAAAAGTCACTATAGTGGAATGATTAAAATAAATGTTTAAAAAAAGAGAGAGAGAAACACATTTACGCTGTAAGAATAACTTTTTATTCCAAACTAAAAATCAGCACTCATTTAATTCTCTGGGGATTAAGAAAAACTCAAAGCAGAAGACAGTAGATTTGTAAATCAAACTTATTTTCAACTCAGAAACAAAATTAGCTTAGATGAGCGGGTTTAATAGAGTATTTTTTGGAAAAAAAAAAGTCATATATTTGTAAGTTAAGAAAAAGAACAGATCCCTAAACCAATCATCACCTAAACTTATCATTACTATCTTACTAAATTCTTTCCAGTACTCCACCCCTGGACTTTTAGTAGTATTCCTTATACAAGCATGGTTTGGGAACACACTAAAAATATACTAGTCAGAAATGCCCCTCAAACAGAACCTACATATATTGGACTCTAATAGCAAATTACTTTGTACAAGTTGTACCATTTGTTCCTAGAGTGTACAATATAAATACCAACTCTTATATAGAAACTTAGATATTCTGTTGGGGAAAAAAAGGCAAAGGGATATTTTTACTCTTCCACTTATGCCATATAAACATTTAAAAATTTTAAGTACTCTGAAAGGAAATGAATGATCATATACAAGAGTTACTGGTTTTAGATTTGCTTAAACATGTACACATGACAGGTCACTTAAATCTAGGGAAACTTAATAAAAATTTATTTAAATTAGTTTAATAGTCTCTTGTACTAGTTCACAAAGTTTAGGTAAAAATACTGCTCTTAAAAATAATTGTATGAAACTAAAAATACACTATTTTTTTTTTAAAGATTTTATTTATTTATGTGAGAGAGAGAGACAGAGAGAGCAAGCGAGCATGAAAGGGAAGGTCAGAGGGAGAAGCAGAGTCCTTGCTAAGCAGGGAGCCTGATGCGGGACTCGATCCCGGGACTCCAGGATCATGACCTGAGCTGAAGACAGTGGCTTAACCAACTGAGCCACCCAGGGACCCTAAAAGTACACTATAAAACTTAACATAATTCTACTGCCCTAACCTCTCCCCACCAACACACATACAAGATTATCAATAGTCTTCTCAAAATATAAATACTGTTAAGTGTTTAGTATTTTTAAAAATGTAAGATTATTAGGGGGATGGAGAGGGTTGGCAGTGAATCATATCAGAATAATTTCAATTTTCTTAAAATCTGAACATTTTTGTTACCATATAAAGAACATATAATTAATGCGTATTAGCACAGGATACCTTAAAGATTGGATTTTAATAAATATTTACATGTTTTCATGTCCCAGACTTATAGCATTACTAAATTATTTTTTAAAAGCTTTTTTTTATTACGAAAACCACTCACCTTCTCCAATTTTCTCTATTTTGGTATAATCTTCCATAGTTAATCAGCAGACTTGGTAGATCCTAAAATGAGAGGAAAAGCTGATTTGATCTCATGCCACTAACTCAAAAGGTGGTTTTAAGTTTTTAATGAGATACAATACATAAAGCATTTTCCAGTGTCTAGTGCAGTATTAATTTTCCTTAAGTATTAGTTATGTTAAAACAACATTTACAAAGGAAAGAACTTCTGCAATAAGATTTTTCTACCTTTCTTAGCTCTTAAAACATTGGATTTGTATATCTTAGCCAATGTAACATTTAGCTTCTTCCAATCAAATTAACTCTCAAATTCAGCTATCAATTCTTCTATCCTTCCCAAACAAAACCCAGAAGTATGTTTTATGTAACACTTCTAAGGAGTACCAATGTGTGTCAGTTATACCCAAACATTTCTACAAATAATGTTATTTGACTGAATTTGTACTTTATGATTTCTTTTTGAAAATTCAAAAGGAAAAAATTTTAAAGACACAAATGGAGAGCTAATGTAGACACACTGCTCAACCATTAGCCAAGATTGCTCAAATATCAGTTGAAATGCTGACAATAAGACATTTCAAGACTTCCTCAGCTGAGAAGTGTGCCAATGAAACGGAACTTCAGAAGCCCAAAGCATAATTACCTTGATTTTCTGACACACTAATCACTGATAAGATCATATATAAAGGTCACTCTGAGTAATTGACACTTAGTTCATTCTTCACAATCATTCCAGAAGTAGAGACAAATCTTTTTAAATGAACAAAATTGCACTACACTGGCTATACGTGCCAATCTTAAATATTTTTTTAATTTTACAAAATGGCAACAATTAGAATAATCTATTTAATATCGATTTTTTTCCTACAATATCCAGATTTAATATGCCTAAAGAACAATAAAATTGTTGAGCTCTACAATATCCAGATTTTTACAATATCCATACTATTGACAATATCCAGATTCTACAATATCCATTTAAAATGCCCAAAGAACAATAAAATTGTTGAGCTCTACAATATCCAGATTTTTACAATAAGCAGATTATTTACAATACTCGGATTCTACAATATCCAGATTTAATATGCCTCATTTAATATGTTGAGCTCACTTTTAACAATAACTTAATTTCCAAGCTGGGTTTCATTACCCTCTCTCCATTTTCCTGTTCTAACAATTCAAAATAAAGGATGCAGCTTTAAAATGTCTTTTGAATGCCTTCTGGGGCTCTGTACTACCAGCAGCAGGATGTAAAACACCAATAGCTTCATCTCCTAACCAGAGACCTTCAGGTCTTTAAAGGAAGCAAGACGTGCACCTTGGTAACCCTAGTACTAAACAAAAATTAAGGGGTACTCCAACACACATATCTCTCGGCATTTCTTAGCTTTCTACCTTGGGCCAACTGCATAGTGTATAACAGCTACCAAGCGCCAAGTAAAAACAAACAAATCCAGATTCCCTCTGGTTTTATCCTTGGCCAAGCGTTCTTAAAAGCTCTGGGAGCACAAGGACCTTGGGCACGGAGGGAAGCCCGAGAAGGCCCACAAGTTGGTTCATCCGATCGGTGTTCCGGGACGACCTGGCTTTGGGAACTGGCGCGGGTACCTGGCCCAAGTGCGCTCTGGCTTTCCGCCGCCACGGAGGCTAGAGCAGGGCGCACGCGGGACAGGCCGGAGCCTCAGGGCCTAGAACGGAGCCTGGCAATCCGCGTCGTCGAACCAATACAAGGGTTTTCCTCAGCCAGGCCAGCGGCCTCTTCGCAAGATCTGTCGACCGCGACCCCAGACTGCAACTCCGAGGCCAGGGCAGACCCTGCCCTCCCCACAGTACGCCCGCGGGATCTGGGCTCCCGCGAGCCTTCCTGGAAAGGCGGGCTCCGGCGTCGCTCACACGCCCAGGCCCCGGGGCCCGAGTGAAGGCGCGGCCTAGCCTCCAGAGGCCCGGCCTGGCCCCGCGCAGACCCCTGCTGCCCAGCCCGGCCTCCTAACACCACCCGGTTCCTCAATACTTCTTCTCCGGGGCCTCCGAGCCGGCCCCGCCGAGCAGACGCCCCGTAGGCATGACCCTGACCTCAGCAACTCTACCCGGCTTATTATCCCGCGACGAAAGCGGCGGCGGCTACCACGTCGGCGTCGCTCTGGCCTTAACTTCCAAGACCCAGCTTTGAAGCTAAGTGCGAGCTGTTTCAAACTCACCGCGCTAAAGGGCCCGGGACCCACCAATCAGATAGTCCGTAGACTTTCAAAGGAGCCAATCGGAGCCCAGCGACGCTTGGGGCTGGGCTTCCCGGGTAGCTAAAGCGCGAAAGAGAGTGGAAACGGCGGCTGGAGAAAAAGCAGGAGGGCGGGCGCCAACTGAGTCTGAGCGCAGGCGCTTTCTTTCATCGCAGGACAACGTCGTCCTACTGTTTCTGCTCGTCGGAAATCTACTGTTCCTCCTAGGTCGGGATATCCCCCCTCCTCCACCCCGGCCAGTATTGGCACAATTAGAACTTACTGCACTCAATCTCATCACAACAGTGATACTACATTGACATTCAAATTCCATTATTTTCACTTTTAATACTTAAAACTACTGTATATTTATGTTTTTCTCTAAGTGGGTGATTTTCCCGCTCTGCCAAAGGAGCACATTTCACAAGTATACACATATATTTTTACCTTACTTTTTAAAATTTTTAACGTTTTATTTGAAATTCTATTTATTTAAAAATTAAAAACAAAATTTTACATTTTTTAGTTTTAAATCACTTTCACATCAGAATTTTAGTTGTTTTTTAAAAACGCAAAAATTCCCAATTCCATGAGAGGAAGAAAAAGAGATCTAAATTATACTTTAAATAATACAGTATCGGGCGCCTGGGTGGCTCAGTGGGTTGAGCCGCTGCCTTCGGCTCGGGTCATGATCTCAGGGTCCTGGGATCGAGTCCCGCATCGGGCTCTCTGCTCAGCAGGGAGCCTGCTTCTCTCTCTCTCTCTCTCTCTGCCTGCCTCTCTGTCTACTTGTGATCTCTCTCTGTCAAATAAATAAATAAAATCTTTAAAACAAAAATAAATAAATAAATAAATAATACAGTATCAAAAACTCTCTCTCTCTCTCTCTCATTGCCTCCACCATAACCTTAGAGAGATGTCTGTTCTTGAACATCATTCTTTAAGTATCTAAGAAAATAAGAGTGAAATAGAAGTGGTGGTAAGAAGAGTCCCCTAATAAGGGCTTGTCTTTTCACTATCTTAATGGGATGTAGGACAAGGACTGATTACCATGAACGTTGCAAAATACATATTAGAAGACCCAGATTAGGTGCTCACTTGGGCAGCACAATTGGTGAAATTGGAATGATACAGAGATTAGCCTGGTCCTTATGCAGGGGTGACATAAATTGGTGAAACGTTCCATATTAAAAAAAAAAAAATGACCCAGATTAGGATAAAGAATGGAGCTGGTATATCACATGTATTTAAGTGTTTAGTACCTTCTTACACAGTGAGTAGCATCTGTCATCTGAAACTATTTGTGGCACAAACACATGGCCTTAACAATTTTATGCTCCTAGGTGACAGAACATTTGGGATTCGCATTGGAGGTAGGGGGTTCTGAAATCTCTAGTTGGACCTAAGGACAAAACTTACTTTTAAAACCTCCAGTTCCCATTTTATTTTTATTATTTTTTAAAGATTTTATTTACTTATTTGACACAGAGAGAGAGAGATCACAGGTAGGCAGAGAGGCAGGCAGAGACAGAGGGAGAAAGAGGCTCCCTGCCAAGCAGAGAGCCCGACGTGGGGCTCGATTCCAGGACCCTGAGACCATGACCTGCAGTGGCTTAACCCACTGAGCCATCCAGGCGCCCCCACAGTTCACATTTTAAGTGAAAACTGACTGCTCCAAAGAAGTGCTCTAGGGAAGAAGGCTGTTCTCTGCCAGCTCAGGGTACTGATTTTAATGAGTACATATATATCTCTCCAGGAGGCATTCATTTTATAGCATCTAAAAACAGCTAGTAAATCATTATACCCATTTTACATTTTACATTCAACATAAAGAAGACCACTAACTTCCACAGCTGTGATGCTAGATTTTTCAATTTATCTCAATTATCTTTGTTTTTAAACTTTCAGGGGTTTTTATAAGTTCATGCTACTATCTTCCCAAATACAGTTTTTTAATTCTTTGGGCCAACTTGAATTTAGTGTCTCTAAAGTACTTTATAGACACAAAATTAATCAGATACAATTCTGATCTGTAGGTGATGGGGGCAGGAGAACACATGATACTTAGGATTTTATTCTGGCATTTACATTGTAACTTATGCTGTAAAGTGAAATGAGAACATAGGGGGCAAATTACAAATTCGAACAAACATTGGAGAAAGAATTGTGGGGTGTGGTTTCCAAACAGAGGAAATTCCATGAGGTAAGCATTTAAAGTCTGCCCAAAACATGCAGGGTGCCGCCATTGTAGGGTGTGGGGCATGTGCAGGTGCACTGCCATTGTGGGGAGTAGTGTGTCCCCCAGTGTTAAGCAACAAAGAGTTTGGAACAAGAATCTTAAAGAGTCCTAAGGGGTTGCACAGGAGAGGTGTAGAACTATTTTAAAACTATTCTCTAAGTGCTATGAAAAATCAACGGAGGACGAGAGGATGGAAAGGCACGTGCTACAAAAAATGTTATATTTATATTTTGGTAAGCTCCATTTAGAAAAAAAAAAAGAGTGGGTGTCACTGCAAACAAGTTTGCTTCATTATATAGCCTTCACTATGGGATTAGTGCTCTTATTAGAAGAAAAACTAGAGAACAGGGTCACTCTCTCTCCTCCTTGTGAGGACACAGCAGGAAGGTGCCATGTATAAACTTGAAGCCTCACCAGACCTCACCATGTGGGCTCCTTGGTCTCAGACTTCCAGCCTCCAGAATTGTGAGGAAATACATTTCTGATGTATAAGTCACCCATTTTGTGCTATTTTGTTATGACAGCCCAGGCAGACTAAAACAGGTATTTTTTCAGATAAAAAGGTTAAGAAACACTTGTCTGTAAACACATAAAATAGCCTAGAAGGAAATGCTACAAATAATAGTGTGCCTGGAGGAAGAGTGCCTGGGGCACAGAGGTGGGGAGGGAGACTGTTGTATCTTTTGAAGTGTTCACTGTGTGAATATATTACCTAGCGTAAAAATGGATGGGTGGATGGATGGATGGATGGATGAGGCCAAAGACTCTTTTCTGTTACTGGATAAAATTCTTGGAAGTTGCTGCAAAATTTACTCAAAAGGAGAAGACTGATCTCCCTTGACATAATTCAGAAAGTAAAGTGGTTGAAAAAAGCAAGACATGAAGTTCCAAGATCTTTTCATCACAGCTGAAAATATGGAACTATCTCGGCTGTTCCTGAGTTAGGCATTTTTGAATTATAAAAGTAAGGTGGTTTTTTTTGTAAAATGTTCAAACAATTCCATAATAAAAGTCTGTCATATATAATCTCTAAGCTCCCATCCTCATTCCTCCAACTAAAGAGACAGAAAGAGAAATCACGGGTAAGCTTTTGGCATCCATACTTTAAATCCACATGTGTCAACTTATCTCAATCTTTCACTGGAAATTTGAGAACTGAGGATGGGGTAGAGAGGAGAAATTCATTCATCAACCAATGAGGATCAAAGACAACAGGTGAACAGATATGTGTCTTCCCGTATAGGTGCAAAGCAAATGTTTACAGTGCAGTAAGTGAGGCTGTTCTGTGCAGAACATGCTGGTTACTAGTAGCTGTGAGTGTGGTGGAGGGCAGAGCAGTCAGGCAAGGCTTCACAGCAGAGGCAAATTCTAAACTCAGTCCCGAGGAATGAAGAATTTGCCAAGCAGACACATGCATGAGGAGAGATTTCTAGTCCACTGAGAAGAAATAATAAGGCATCTTTGATGGACTGAAATTAATTCAGTATTCCTGGAACATAAATGGAGTTTAGGGGGGCTAGAGAAAGGATCAAAGAAATGATGTTATGCAGTAAGGCAATACCCATGCCTGAGAAGGCCTTTCAGGGTCCTCGCAAAGGATTTGGATGAAGGGTGGAATTGGGAAAAAAAAAAAAAAGTTGTAGTGGGTGACGTAGTCAGATGTGGGGTTAGGAGGGAAAAGTCAACTGAAGAGGAGATCTGAGGAGGGACAATGAGGTAGCATCAGAGCCAGGAGACCAGTGGAGGGCTCTGCTTCTATCCCAGCAGAGGCCGAACTGGGGGAGTGGTAGTCAGTTTGAAGAGGAGGAAATGATGATGAGTTCAAACTATAAGGTCTGAGGCGTGGATTTGGTGTGTGACTAAGGGAGAAAGCGTCATCAGGGATGACTAGGATATATGTTTGACAGTGGATGGATGCCACTACACTTCTGGAGAGAAACTGAGGGATACTTATGGTTGGAGGGGGAGGGTAGGGGGGGAGGTGTTGGGGGGAGTGCTGATTTGGGCATGTTGATTATGAGGTGCCAATATAATATCCATGTGTCCTCAGATGGACAAAAGCAGATGTAGGATCCACGAGGCCTGAAGTATCTACCATTTGGGGGCCGTTTTAAAGTAAAAGGATGCTGGATTTGGTGTGATAGGGAATATATTTTGAGAATAAGAAATTGTAAAATTACAAAATTTTAAAAGTTGAAAAGTACCATAAAATCACAAAATTCATAGAAAATTCTATTTTTATTAATTGTCTGACATATCCTTATAATGCTTTTTGTCCTACATTTCTGGGGAGCAACAACTTTTGGAATCCATATTCTAAACGCTTATTCATCCTTCCAACTGGCAAATTCTTTATCTTTGTCTCGTTATATGAAACACAATTTTGTAATATTTACTATGAAGAGAAAAAAGATAATTCAGTCTTCCCTTTAACATGGTTAATCCGAATTGGCTTTTTATGATTAATTATTCCAAAAAAGTTTTTATGACTTCTTACCCCCTTATTGATAACATCATGTAGATTGTTTAGACTTTCTATCAAATTTGAGAAAATATTTATCAAGTTTCTTTCACATATGAGCTGCTTTTAAGACTGGTCTAAGCTTATACCTTACAAACACAGGTATTATGCTAAATTCTTATTTGCATGATTCTAAAGTTTCCAGATTCCAAAGATTTTCTGATGCATTTATCGTTGTTCATGCTGTGTTAATAAGTGCATTCCTGACACAAGAGAATTTCGGTTTTGGATGAGGTAATGATAAGCATTTTACACATCTGCTAATTGGAAGAATTTCCCACAGGTTAGCTTCTCCTCTATTACCCACTTACTTCCAGTTCAGATAAGACCTCAGACCCTACACCTTCATTTTCATATGCCAGGAGCATTCACAGAATGGGTAGAAGGAGTATTTCCAGGAGCTGTTGCTATATTAGGACTGCTGGCAATGACTTGGAAGCGTTGGGGATGAATAACTAGATACCACTAATCCTCAACTAAATGTATCCTCAGCTCAACTTCCCCTGAGCTGAATCCCCCACTATGTTCTGGTCCTGCCAGTACCACTGGGCAGATGGGGAAGTTTGACTAGTGGGGAGTTGAACTGGAAAGAAACAACCACCTTAAAGACCTGTGGCTAACCTACCCTAGTGTATGTATTTATCAAAAACCTATGATTATGGGAACACCCCTGTCAGAGCCCAGGAAGGGGCCTGTGCTAAGTAAGGCAGGATCTTGACACTTCAGCTTCATGAGATTCATGGTAAGTCTAAGTGTTAAACTGTAGATGATTTTAAACATAATCGGGGCCAGGAGAAGTGAGCAGCACTGCCGAGATGATCAGGGTTCTTGTTTTAGTTGAATCTCTGAGGTGTTTTTGATAATCTTTTATGGACTTCTTCGATTTTATGACAATACTCTTTATGCCTAAAATAGGCCCTTCTGCTAGAACTAAAAATTGAGAGGGAGAAGTAGTTCTTTAAATCCTGATCTTTGTAAAGTTGTCCCAGGGCAATGGATTATGGATGAGTAAGTTAAGGAATTAATATAAAAGTTTATTTTCTAATGGTGTTAAACAAAGGAAGTTCTAATTTAACTCAATACACTGTCATCTAGAATGATACAGGCCTGGGGTTTCACCTGCAATATTCTGCTTCTTTTTAAATTTTTACTATAATTGACAGATTCCAAAGAGCAGAGTGGCAAAAACACACTCCTCCTGTTAAAATGATAGAGATGAAACATAATTTACTCTTTCTTAAAAAAATGAGACAGGCACTTTCAGGTATGACAGGAAATTAAACTCTTTCAGTTCCACTCATCAAATATATGAGTGTTTTCTGTTCTCTTGGCATTATTTGGGGGACACTAAAGATACAAAGATGAATTAGACTTCCTGTCCTCCTTGACTTGAAAGGAGGAGCCAAGGTAAGAAAAATACATCAAATGATTA